CTTGTAGCATGAATACTGCAATAGTAATCAAACAAGTATTTCATTAATCAAATTGTAAATGATTTTAATTGAATTGCAATTATACAGTATATAGTACAGTAGTAATACTACTTACATTAAAAAAAAAATACATGCATATTGTTTTTAAGGTTGTTGGACATACTGTATTACTAAAATAAATATGCTATTACGAAGCACACAAAACCTGGTATAGTGTAATGCCTTAATTTTGTTAATAAATAGGTGCCTAGTATCGTCAGGAAAATTGAACCATACAATTTTACATCCCACACTGTATTGTTTGCTCTGTAATTCATAAGCTATTGGAATTATGCTTTACATAGTCTATTTTATAACCATAGTGAATGATACGCAGATTGTATAGGCCTATTTATGAACAATAAACACCTCAATTTCAGGGCATTCTATATTATATAGTTGAATTGCATTGTAATTCACCAAAAATAAATTGTTAAAATATACAATTTTAATAGATAAAATTAATTTAACACAGACATAGTAATTCATACTGGCAATACATTAACATAGCTACAGCATGAGGAGCCTCTGGTCAAAGGAGAAGCTAAAATTCACCTGTCTGGGGAGGATATTTAAACTCTGTGTAGTTGGCACACTACCCGTTGAAGTCCGTGAATCAGCATCAATTGACATCTTTAAAAAGCGACTCAAAACCTTTTTATTTGCCTTTTTATAGCTACTGTTTTCTGTTTCTCCTTGCTAGCTAGTGTTGTTTGTTCCAGGTTAGGAGGCACCTGATCCCAGAAAAGATCAAGACTTAACCGATGCTAACCGGAGTACATAAACACAGATCTCCGGTTGGCGGTGATGGTGTAACCCCATACTTCAGTTTGGGTGCTAGCTTGGTGTTTTGTTTTTTTCCCGGCTTTTTTCTTTGTGTTCTTGACTTCATTATTGTCTAGGGCATAGAGACCTCGTTTATTTGCGCTATATAAATCCATCTATTATTATTATTATTATTCAGAAAATGCCTCATGTATGGACTTCATTACACGACATCAGCACTCGCCTGTCTTTGCCAAGATAACCCCAGCACCAACGTACAATTTGCTGATAGGCTGTATACCTGTAACGCCTGGAAAAAAAATTTTGAAGCAATATTAATATAGATTTTTTTTGTGTGTGAGGGGAAGAGAAAACAGGAATTAAAGCATAACTACGACTCATAAATAGTAATCAGATTTAATAAAATATTTTATTGGTCAATTCCACTTGTAAGCAGTGGGGTATTTTGCAAGACTTGCCATGTACAGTAAGTGCACACACAAAGAAAAAGTAAGGTACCACCCAAAATATTAACTAATGTATGCCTAATAGAACAAAAATATATGTTGATGTTTGCGGTATAGAACAACAGTAGAGCATAGAACTGCAAGTGATCTGGCTAACATGCGGATGGGTGGTAAATAGACCTATATATTTAATGGAGTTTTGTAAAAAAAATAAATAAATCATTCAAGTCAGTGGCCTCTCTCCTCTCTGATGGTTGGGAGGGGATGCTAACCAATTCTTTTATTTTACATGGCCTTAATTTGTATTTTAATCGAATGGTTCTTACTTCTTGACAACAGGAACGATTTCCCCACATCTCTTCCACGACGCAGTTTCCACAAGTACACCTGAATATAACAGAAATGCATTTTTTTTTATATTAAACTAATGATTTTATAGAACATAATAGAAGGACTAGGCCCAATTATCATAACTCAGACAGGTTCTATTTCCCCAAATAGAAGCCCAGAGTATGATTTTAATGGCTCAGTTGACTTCTTTCTAGTCTACAAATACTTTCAGAAAAAAAAATATCAAAGATATGCTTCAAATTATCCATGCAATTTTAAAATATTCCGTTTGGTTTTCCATCCATACAACTTTAAATAGGGCACGCTGATGTCAGATTTAAAAGGATATTTTTCTTTATTTGGTTAAAATGGAATTCCCATTGGTATACACCCACCAACTAACTAGGCTAAAATACGCCAAACATGGCAATAGGCCTTAGTCTATTAGTATTTAGTACCACCCTAACCCTCCCTACAGTATAGGCCTAGCCAAAGATGGCCTAGCCTAGATAGGCAAAGAAGGGCTATCCTAGGCATACAGACCTCGCTAGACTAGGCCTAGGTTATAACAGGCCTAGCCTAGCAAGGTAGACCCCAGACTATGAATTGGCTAGGCCTAGTTAGAAGCCTCCACCCAAACAAAAAAATGATATAAAAACCGTCCGCGCAATTGGAAAAATAAGGGCCAATTTCCACGCAGATTTTTCCGAAAAAATCTTTTAGACTAGGCCTAGGCCGGTAGGCCTAGCCGTACGGCGCTCTACCCTCTAGCTAGGCCTAAGCTTTGCTTTGACATAATATATAATAAATCTGCTACGGGATGTCAAACAACCAGTATATGATGTTAAAAAAACATGTGATATGAATAAAATTACCATTCCTGTCTTGCCGCACGTTTATATTTCCCGGTAAGAAGACTCTCTTGGGATACAAGTAAGTAAGTAAGTAAGTAAGTAAGTAAGTAAACCTTGGCGAATAAGTTCACCAAGTTCATCATCAGCAACAGCAACGGGCCTTGCTTGGTTCATCGTCGCCAATAAATGCCATAATTTGGCCAAAATTTACAATAAGCCTACGAGGCTCCGCAGCTTTTTTTTTTTTTTTTGATGATGACTGATTGTCACTTGCCATAAGATCGGTCAATTAATATTAATAATAATTGGAATTGTGATAAACACTATAAAATCCGCGAGAACAAAATGGCTACAGCTAAAAACTTGTGTATTGTGGATTTCACCAAATTTCACGCATGCGTGTAATTACATCCGTGTGCCTATCCTCCGAGGCATGTGGCTGCCAAATTCGTAAAAGACAGTCGTAAAAACAACATTAAAAATGGACTTTAAAAAATAATTTGAGAAATATATAGCCAAATTTTAATCATTTACGATGAAATACATATCCAGGAACAAAAATGTAAAGCGGATTACCTATTACCATCACTGTATTGTGTCAATTGGCAAATAACCTCCACATTCCCTATCCTCGCAGTACAAATTTATCTTTTTGTGACGTCACAAAAAGATTTTCAGTGACTTTCTGGGGGATTTTTTGGGGTAAGGCATTGTACAATACGTTTAATATTGGGTGTCCGAGGTTTTCCAATGACTTTCTAAACATTTTTTTTGGATTTTGGATTTCTAGAAACCGTTTCATATCCATTTTAACATGTGGTACAGCATGCGCTGATATCCACTGTAATCCCCAGAAGGATGTACTTATAATAGTTAAACATTCAAAATATTTATTGATATTGTTTTATAGTTCATTTCCAATGTGGACGGGACGTTGCTTGCGCTAAAAATACCATAGAATAAATATATATTCAAAGAAATACACAGCATGTACAGTTTGCGCTGACACATGAGAAAATGAGTAACAGAAACAAACAATTGTGATGAAAAGAGCTCGGAGATGAGCCAAGCTAGAGGGTAGAACTTTAGCTATTGTTAAGGGTAAAATGACCTGGTCTGATGTACCGTTTGAAAGCGTTGCTCGACCATCTGCCAGTAACCATAATTTCGTTCTCGGCAGCGCCTAGGCTATGTAGTTTGGTTGCCCTTCCTATCCTGAAAGAGTGTGTGTTGAAACGCCTGTGGTCTAGATTGGCATAACGTGCGCACAATCTTAGTGTTTCAGACAGTTGTGCCCTGTTTACTGGTGTACCAGTTGGAAATACAAACTATTGACCTTCCACTTTGGGGCGAATTTTTCCGTATAGGTGTAGTGCTTTCACAGGGCACAAGCAGCTTCCACGATTTTCCTTAAGTACATATTTTGGATGTGGACCTTTGCTATGTTTGAACGTGCGGAAAGTGATGAGTACTTTATCCTTATGAAGTACTATGTTGTTGGACGTTAGCGCATGTTCAAGAGTTTTTGTAGCAACAATTTCGCTGGCTCGTTGGCAGGCCAAATAGCATGTTAGAAATAGAGCTTTATAGAGAGTGAAATCATAACGCGAAGTGGTTGCGAATTGGAGGTTCTCTATTCGTTTAGTGAAAATCTGTGTAGTGATTGGTAGCCGAGTGAAAGTGGCGGACTGCTGTAGTTTTAGTTTTGAGGCTCCTCTACACAGAATGGTCACTTTTGTCGAGACTGTCGGATCCTCCATGTAAGAAATCTTGTGCATGAATGAAATTGCACTAAGGTAGGTTTTAACGGTAGAGACTGCAAGTCCAGATTTTATCAAATAGCACACGTAAAGGGATAAGGCTTGTTGGGTTGATGGCATACGTAACGGTAGGTTATGTCGTCGTAGAAAGTGACGAAAATGTGTCTATTGCTTGATGTAAGACTTAGCAGTGTCTTTTGCTAACGATCCCCAGGTAAGTGTCTGTT